TCCCAGTCATGACTGGGATGCTCCGACTTCCCCCTATCCCCGTAGACCCCCCTCTCTCCCTCGGTCCCCCTTCTTCCCGGCAGGTCATATATTCCATTCACACCAGGCCAGGAGATGAGTCTGGGCCCCCTTCCACTTCTGCATTCAGCGGAGGGGACTCCAGGCCGCATCCCCAGTCCTACCATACTTACCGATCAAACACTCTCTTCAAACACACCCCACACTAATTACTCAAATACAATGCAATAAATTAAAATGGGACATTTTCTCTCAAACATTCATACTATTTTCTTATAGCAAATTTGCTACTCTTAAAAAAGCAACCAAATCTACAGAGGCTATGGTTGCAATCCAATCCATATATACATATACATATATAAGGGCAGAGGCTAGAAGAGCCCAGAAGAAGAAAGGTTAACGTGAAGAAGTCCCCCCGATCCAGCCTGTGCATGGAAATCTCAGTCCAGGAGAAAGCAAGAAGAGTTCACCTCTGCATGGGGTCCTGAGGATGCCGGCATTGCTATGTTTATTTTTTCTCGTATTTTACTTTGTTTTGCCATGGAAGAAAGCAGTAGGAAAGTACAGGATATTACAATTGGAAGCACTATAGTGGAACGTGGAACCATTGTAAGATTCAAAATCTTGTGTGGAAACACCCTTGGATACAAGTCATATATTATGGCTTCTTTCTTTTCAGAGATATTTCTTTTTGATGCAGGTACTTATCAATCTGTCAAATAGGTTATGTTTCTTTATATCATATAGAGTCAATCAAAATTTCAGGATTCGTGTTCACGAATGAAAGGACAGAGAGAACTGTGATGTTATGTACTTTGTTTATAATGTGCACATGAAATGAGATTTATTCTTTGCATTGGACTGTGCTAAAATATTGCAATAGCCCACTTATATGGCATTATAGAAACTTATCTCAAAAAAGGCAGCTCAGATATGAAAGTCATGAGAGAAATGCATGTTAAAAAGATTGAGTATTTTCAAGATGGGGACTTCAACATTCTTAATATAACCCAGGCTTGTTTTATAGATACCTCCTTGAAACATGTCATTTTTACTTCTTGGCTTTGCTAACTATATGGGACTTTGACAACAATAAACCTTAACATCAAGGAAAATATGAGAGGTTCAAAATATATTGGTGTGGCATTGGAAGCTAAGGAGAGTTGGGCCTGGTTACTATTTGGATGGGAGATTTCACAGAAATTCTACATCCATGAATGATCTAAGAAATTGAATATATTCCAGAAGAAAGCAATGTTAACCCCTTCTCTATTGCTGGAAATTATATATTGTATTTTTCGGAGTATAAGATGCACCTTTTTCCCTCAAAAGAGGCTGAAAATCTGGGTGTGTCTTATACACTAAATACAGCATTTTTTGCCTCCTGACCCCCCCCCCCTTCACCAAAATGGCTGTGCATAGCCTTTAGGAGCCTTGCAGAGTGATCCTGGGGGCTAGGGAGGGCAGAAATGAGCAAAAAATTGGTTGTTTTTTGGTCAATTTCCTCCCCCCCTGTCCCCAGGAGCACTCTATAAGCCTCCTAAAGGCTATGCATGCCCATTTTTGCAAAAAAGGGGCCATTTTTGGGAGGTCTGCAGAGTGCAATTTTTTTTTTTTAAAAATTGCATCTTCAAAACTTTGATGCGTCTTATACTCCAGTATGTCTTATACTCCGAAAAATACAGTAAGTGTATTCAATAGTCACCTGAAATTAAGTCTCAGCTTAAAGAA